CAGAAGGTGACAGAGATGACAGAAGGTGACAGAGATGACAGAAGGTGACAGAGCTAACAGAAGGTGACAGAGCTGACAGAAGGTGAGAGAGCTAACAGAAGGTGACAGAGCTGACAGAAGGTGAGAGAGCTAACAGAAGGTGACAGAGCTAACAGAAGGTGACAGAGCTGACAGAAGGTGACAGAGCTTTCCTCCTCACATATCTAGGACGTTGTTCAAGTTCCCTTCCGTTCTCCAGGTGACGGGACTCCACTCCGTGACTGCATACTAAGAACTGACCTTACACAGGCAGTGAACAGCAGTCTGAATGCCTCCTTTATAGACCCCAAAATAATATAATAAGTTTGGCAATGTGGCGTATGCCGCTGATGTCATCCTGTTTATCTGTGCCTCATGAGATAGGCTTGGTGCTATGATCACTCCCAGATCTCTTCCTCTGGTTGTTAGAGGGAGATAGATCGTTCTGTAACGTTCTTCTGATCTTCTGGAACCTGTTCAGCTCTCCATCACCTTACACTTGCTAGCGATGAAATCCAGTAGCCATTTCTCTGACCAACTATGTAGCTTGTCGAAGTCAACTTTGTGCTTGACTTTTCATATTTGCTTAATGTTGATGGTGTTGAGTTGGCTTGAACACACGCACCTCAGGTGATGTCTGCAGACACCTGTGCTTGAACACACGCACCTCAGGTGATGTCTGCAGAGACCTGTGCTTGCACACACGCACCTCAGGTGATGTCTGCAGAGACCTGTGCTTGAACACACGCACCTCAGGTGATGTCTGCAGAGACCTGTGCTTGCACACACGCACCTCAGGTGATGTCTGCAGAGTCCTGTGCTTGCACACACGCACCTCGGGTGATGTCTGCAGAGATCTGTGCTTGCACACACGCACCTCAGGTGATGTCTGCAGAGACCTGTGCTTGCACACACGCACCTCAGGTGATGTCTGCAGAGACCTGTGCTTGCACACACGCACCTCAGGTGATGTCTGCAGAGACCTGTGCTTGCACACACGCACCTCAGGTGATGTCTGCAGAGACCTGTGCTTGCACACACGCACCTCAGGTGATGTCTGCAGAGACCTGTGCTTGCACACACGCACCTCAGGTGATGTCTGCAGAGTCCTGTGCTTGCACACACGCACCTCGGGTGATGTCTGCAGAGATCTGTGCTTGCACACACGCACCTCAGGTGATGTCTGCAGAGACCTGTGCTGACATCTGGCGTGTCATGTCTTCTTCAAGGTAACTACATCTGTCACTTTCCTGGGATATAGACGTATCTGGCAGCTTTCTCAAACCCTAAATGTCGAGTACACAATGTGTCAACTTTGTGAAAGAGAAAACATGCACTCACTTGAACATTATATTGTAGAGTGTCCCATATTGACTGACTTTCGCCCTCCTGGGCTGAGGTATGCTCAACTGTGTAATTACTATATGAGTACTGGAACACTTGATGATATATTGGACTTGTACCCAAGATTAACCATGTAATGTATCAATTATACAATGTATGTATGTGATGTAACTATATAACCTGAGCTTGTAAAAGCACCTTAATTACCTTCAGTGATTAAGTGCTTTATTGCACACTAGTTTCTTTATCAGCTATCTCACCCTGTCAGAGTAAAAGAGACAAATATATGTGTATGTATGTATGAGTGTGTGTATGTAAGTGAATAAAGTATATGTGGAAACTGATCAGAATTACATTTCACCATTGTAAATTCACATTAATGACACTGTAAGAGAAACATCGAACACTTTATGTAGCATACATAAATCTGTGTATCTATGTATTTACGTATGTAGCATAGACTACATCGATCCCAGGTGCCGGCGAGAAACAATGGGCAGAGTTTCTTTCACCCTATGCCCCTGTTACCTAGCAGTAAAATAGGTACCTGGGTGTTAGTCAGCTGTCACGGGCTGCTTCCTGGGGGTGGAGGCCTGGTCGAGGACCGGGCCGCGGGGACACTAAAAGCCCCGAAATCCTCTCAAGATAACCTCAAGATAGACTAACATTTTAAAAGCACTACAATCACCTTCTGTGGTTGATTATTCAATGAACCCTTGAACTATATGTTTAACACTTCTCTAACCCTGTCCATGGAGGACAGAAGAAAATGTATATATGCTGGTTAGCATTGTTAATGTGTGGCCACGTCTGTGGTACAAAATAATAATAAAATAATAATTAAAAACTTTCCCGTTAGCATCTGTCAGACTCTACACGCGACCACGATTATGACTTTACTTCTTCCACAGTGTTTATGCTTGTTGACCAGACCACACACTAGAAGTTGAAGGGACGACGACGTTTCGGTCCGTCCTGGACCATTCTCAAGTCGATAGTCATTCACAATCGACTTCAGAATGGTCCAGGACGGACCGAAACGTCGTCGTCCCTTCAACTTCTAGTGTGTGGTCTGGTCAACATACTTCAGCCCTGTTTATGCTTCATTCTCCAGTGTTCATGCTTCACACTCCTGTGTTTAAAGCTGCACTGCAAGTTCTATACACAGGTTAAGTGCTTTCTCCTGATCATTACCTTACCGTAATGTTGACAGGGAGACGAGTAATGTTGACAGGGAGACGAGTAATGTTGACAGGGAGACGAGTAACTGCAAAACATATGAACAAATGTTTGCTAGTTACACTACACAAACGCATAGTATGTTTACTCTGTATGGTTGCTTGAGGTTACTCACAAGACTCAGTGTTAGTCTGTATGGTTGCTTGAGGTTACTCACAAAACTCAGTGTTACTCTGTATGGTTGCTTGAGGTTACTCACAAGACTCAGTGTTACTCTGTATGGTTGCTTGAGGCTACTCACAAGACTCAGTGTTAGTCTGTATGGTTGCTTGAGGCTACTCACAAGACTCAGTGTTAGTCTGTATGGTTGCTTGAGGTTACTCACAAAACTCAGTGTTACTCTGTATGGTTGCTTGAGGTTACTCACAAGACTCAGTGTTACTCTGTATGGTTGCTTGAGGCTACTCACAAGACTCAGTGTTAGTCTGTATGGTTGCTTGAGGCTACTCACAAGACTCTGTTAGTCTGTATGGTTGCTTGAGGCTACTCACAAGACTCAGTGTTAGTCTGTATGGTTGCTTGAGGCTACTCACAAGACTCAGTGTTACTCTGTATGGTTGCTTGAGGCTACTCACAAGACTCAGTGTTAGTCTGTATGGTTGCTTGAGGCTACTCACAAGACTCTGTTAGTCTGTATGGTTGCTTGAGGCTACTCACAAGACTCAGTGTTAGTCTGTATGGTTGCTTGAGGCTACTCACAAGACTCAGTGTTACTCTGTATGGTTGTTTGAGGCTACTCACAAGACTCAGTGTTACTCTGTATGGTTGCTTGAGGTTACTCACAAGACTCAGTGTTCCGTCTTCAACTCATCCTGATCCAAAGTTTTTAAGTAATTATAGAACAATTCACAATATTATGAGACTCTAAAATGATGTAATGTGACATCATCAGGAGCAAGTGCATCAGAAGGTCTTGCACACTTGAGTTATATAAAGAAGAGAAGCGGGAAAACAGTTGCAAGAAGGAACACAAGAAAGGAACGCATTTTTCAAGACGTTTCGTTGCAACATGACAAGCCTTCGAAGCACTCAATTAATTGCGATCAACGCGAATCAATTACCGATCAATTGGTCGTGTTGAAATTGCCTTCATGTTGCGTTCAACACGACGATGATATTGCCCCACTGGTGAACTGCACTACAGCAAAATATACACACACTGGAACGAGAGACTATCTGCACGCTCACCCATCCAGTTACTGGTCACACTCTACTGCGCTTAACTTGACTGAACTCTGGACGTTACGTCACCCATTGCGCCGAGCCATGCGGTCACAAGAGGTAACGACCATTAGCAATTGGTCCAGTTAACACAGGTGATATTGGCGGTAACGTTTCCCAATATACAGGTCAATAATTGTCAGCTGAAGCCAACTCTTGAGTGTATTTGTGAGGGGAGAGGAGAGGCCAATATTACTGCTTTGTGAGGGGAGAAGAGAGGCCAATATTACTGCTTTGTGAGGGGAGAAGAGAGGCCAATATTACTGCTTTGTGAGGGGAGAAGAGAGGCCAATATTACTGCTTTGTGAGGGGAGAAGAGAGGCCAATATTACTGCTTTGTGAGGGGAGAAGAGAGGCCAATATTACTGCTTTGTGAGGGGAGAAGAGAGGCCAATATTACTGGCTTGTGAGAGGGAGAGTCGTGGCCAATATTACTGGCTTGTGAGAGGCTCCCAGACGATGGTGAAATGAAGAGACAATGTTCAAATCCTAAACATAACCCACATTAACGACTCACTCCCACATTAACAATTCTCTCTCACATTAACAATTCCCTCCCACATTAACGACTCTCTTCCACATTAACGACTCTCTTCCATATTAACGACTCTCTTCCACATTAACGACTCACTCCCACATTAACAATTCCCTCCCACATTATCTACTTGGTCTGGACGGTAGGGCGACGGTCTCGCTTCATCCAGGTCGGCGTTCAATCCCCGACCGTCTAAGTGGTTGGGCACAATTCCTTTCCCCCGTCCCATACCAAATCCTTGTCCTGACCCCTTCCCAGTGCTATATAGTCGTAATGGCTTGGCGTTTTCCCCTGATAGTTCCCTTCCCCTTCCCTCCCACATTAATAACTCCCTCCCACTAATAAGGACTGCCCCTCACATTAATGACTCCCTTCTACATTACTGAGTTCATTTCATGGTTATGATTCCCTCCCACATTAATTAATCTAACCATTAATTTTTCCTCCCACTTTAAAGATCTCCTCCCACATTAGTAAACCCAGTCCACATTATTGACTTCTTTGGCATGAAGGGGCCCTTCCAACCACTCCACAAGCCTTGGGGGAAAAACCTATGGGGGAACCATATACTTGTTCCACTGGTAGGGAGGCTAGTTGAGCAGGTCTAAGACAGGGTCTCCCGTCTTGGACCTGCTCGGACCAGATGGTCCTCGAGAGATTGATTTCTCTTCCATGCGATCATAGGAGGATCTCTAGGGAAGTTCAGCCAGGATGGATGTCCTTGTATGTCTCCTTCATCCAGGACTATAATCTGGTCATTTTCTGCTACAGATGTGTTGCTGAGCCTAGAAAAATAGAGTCGGGAGGATCCACCTCTTATCGTCTTGTTTTGGAGTCTGAGGTTCGAGGAGTTGAGCTCGGGTTTGTGTTGTAACTTAGTCTGGGCTTTGTGCAGTATCTTGTCTGGATGGCCACTATCCCTGAACCTCTCCCAGAGATCCTGTAGCTGGGGCTGAAATGTTTCATCCCAGCTGTTTGTTCTCTTTAAAGTACAAAAGAGAGGCCTTTAGAGGCCTCTAAAGAGGGAGAGAGGCTGTTCTCTTTAGAAGGCTAGAGAGTATGGCAGGGAAGTCTTCAGAGCTGCTGAGAGGCTTGAATCAAACTTCAAATAAGTATGGAGATTTGTGGGTTTGTAGTACGCCTTTGTTTGGAGACGCCTACTCGTGTGGTCAATAAACACTGCTGTATCGAGGACATTTATTGTTGAACTGTTATCTCTAATGTAAATATTTAGTTGTCGTGGGCAGTGTTTGCCCAGGCAAAGAAAGTGTGTAGATGTTGCTCGCCGGTGGTCATGATGCCAAAAATGTCAACAATATATCTAATATATTAGCAATGCATCGGTCTTTTGGGCTCTTGCGTTTTCAAAGGCCACATGCGTAAACATCTCGGCGATCGCCATGCTGCTGGAAGCCCCTGTGACTGTGCCTTTTATCTGTCTGTAGGTTCGTCCCTCGAACTGAAGGAGGGTGGCTCATCACATGCAGGATTGCTTCTTCCACCAAGTCCCTCTGCGGTGTCCTCCAAACTCTTGCCACCCTTAGTTCTGTGGTTTCCTTGTGTTTGTTCTCGTTGAAGAAATTAGCCACTATTCTGGCCGATTCCCTCTGTAGTATGCTCGGGTAGAGCGATACTACATCCGTCGAGAAAAGGTGAGTGTCTTCCGACATACTGCCCTCAGTGTCTTGTATCTTATCTAGGATGTCAGTTGTGTCACGTAGTCTCTTCGGTAAGAGGCGTAGTAGAGGGTTCAGCAAGGCTGGACAAATCCAGTCCACCGGCCTCGTCGGTGCCTTGAAGCCGCTTAGAACCAGTCTTCCTTGCCATGTTCCTGTGTCCGGGTGTGGTTGTCTGTGTACCTTTGGCAGGAGATATATATGGGGTATTTTTGAGATGAAAGCGATGTAAGAGTCTGGCTTTTGCTTGTATGAGACCTTCGCTTCCATTCCCTGTGACGTTCTCGAAAAATTTGAGGATTATTCGCCTGCTTCTAGCCTGAGCGTTTCTGAGTGCCGCTGCCTAGTCTCTGATGCTGTCGTGGGAGACCTCATCCGGCAGGTGCCTGTCCATCTCCCTCGTGGGGAGATGTGCCTGTCCATCTCCCTCGTGGGGAGATGTGCCTGTACCTGTTCCATACGACGACCGCTCCTCCTTTGTCAGCGGCTTTAACTAGGAAGTCAGGCCGTCGTTTTAGGGCGGCCAAGGCTTCCTTCTATTCCCTGGCCCAGGTCTGATCAGGTCTATGATGAGATCAACATTGTATTGACTGCCAGTGTTGCAGTGGGTGCCAGTGTTGCAGTGAGTGCCAGTGTTGCAGTGGGTGCCAGTGTTGCAGTGAGTGCCAGTGTTGCAGTGGGTGCCAGTGTTGCAGGCAGTGCCAGTGTTGCAGTGGGTGCCAGTGTTGCAGGAAGTGCCAGTGTTGCAGGCAGTGCCAGTGTTGCAGGCAGTGCCAGAGTTGCAAGCAGTGCCAGTGTTGCAGGCAGTGTCAATGTTGCAGTGAGTGCCAGTGTTGCAGTGGGTGCCAGTGTTGCAGGCAGTGTTGCAGTGGGTGCCAGTGTTGCAGGCAGTGTCAATGTTGCAGCGAGTGCCAGTGTTGCAGGAAGTGCCAGTGTTGCAGGCAGTGCCAGTGTTGCAGTGGGTGCCAGTGTTGCAGGCAGTGCCAGAGTTGCAAGCAGTGCCAGTGTTGCAGGCAGTGTCAATGTTGTAGTGGGTTCCAGTGTTGCAGGCAGTGTTGCAGTGGGTGCCAGTGTTGCAGTGGGTGTCAGTGTTGCAGGCAGTGCCAATGTTGCAGTGGGTGCCAGTGTTGCAGTGGGTGTCAGTGTTGCAGGAAGTGCCAATGTTGCAGGCAGTGCCAGTGTTGCAGTCAGTGCCAGTGTTGCAGGAAGTGCCAGTGTTGCAAGCAGTGCCAGTGTTGCAAGCAGTGCCAGTGTTGCAGGCAGTGTCAGTGTTGCAAGCAGTGCCAGTGTTGCAAGCAGTGCCAGTGTTGCAGGAAGTGCCAGTGTTGCAGGCAGTGCCAGTGTTGCAGGCAGTGCCAGTGTTGCAGGCAGTGCCAGTGTTGCAAGCAGTGCCAGTGTTGCAAGCAGTGCCAGTGTTGCAAGCAGTGCCAGTGTTGCAGGCAGTGCCAGTGTTGCAGGAAGTGCCAGTGTTGCAGGCAGTGCCAGTGTTGCAGGCAGTGCCAGTGTTGCAGGCAGTGCCAGTGTTGCCATGGATGTTGTTACATTGGATGTTGCTAAGAGTGCAACATTTTCACCCTGAGAGCCGACATGTCAAGGCCTGTAATGTTTCTCAGCCTCAGCACCAGTAGTGTGTTTAATCACCTGTTTTAATCTCTTGTATATTTACAATCAAAACCTTACATTCAATAACACATTTAATTAGATACATCGTAAGTAAAATCCCATAGTGAAAAGGACCCAGTTTTATTACACATGTCATTTACCCTAAAAAAATATAATAATATGACTAGCTCTTCGTGAGGTAAAATGGTAAACTGTGACCAAAAAAAATGAAAGTTTGTTGAGAGAAACAACAGAAGTCTCAAGTTGGGAAGTTTCTCCTGAACAGCTGTTTGTGCCCCCCCCCCACCTGCGCCTCACCGTGAGACAGAGCACCACACTGTGAGACAGAGCACCACACTGTGAGACAGAGCACCACACACCGTGAGACAGAGCACCACACTGTGAGACAGAGCACCACACTGTGAGACAGAGCACCACACACTGTGAGACAGAGCACCACACACCGTGAGACAGAGCACCACACACCGTGAGACAGAGCACCACACTATGAGACAGAGCCCCACACACTGTGAGACAGAGCACCACACACTGTGAGACAGAGCACCACACACTGTGAGGCAGAGAACCACACACTGTGAGACAGAGCACCACACTGTGAGACAGAGCACCACACTGTGAGACAGAGCACCACACTGTGAGACAGAGCACCACACTGTGAGACAGAGCACCACACACCGTGAGACAGAGCACCACACACCGTGAGACAGAGCACCACACCGTGAGACAGAGCACCACACCGTGAGACAGAGCACCACACACTGTGAGACAGAGCACCACACACTGTGAGACAGATCACCACACACCGTGAGACAGAGCACCACACACTGTGAGACAGAGCACCACACACCGTGAGACAGAGCACCACACTGTGAGACAGAGCCCCACACACTGTGAGACAGAGCACCACACCGTGAGACAGAGCACCACACTGTGAGACAGAGCACCACACCGTGAGACAGAGCCCCACACACTGTGAGACAGAGCACCACACACTGTGAGACAGAGCACCACACACTGTGAGGCAGAGCACCACACACTGTGAGACAGAGCACCACACACTGTGAGACAGAGCACCACACACTGTGAGACAGAGCACCACACAGACAGAGCACCACACTGTGAGACAGAGCACCACACACCGTGAGACAGAGCACCACACACTGTGAGAGCACCACACTGTGAGACAGAGCACCACACACGTGTGAGACAGAGCCCCACACACTGTGAGACAGAGCACCACACACTGTGAGACAGAGCACCACACACTGTGAGGCAGAGCACCACACACTGTGAGACAGAGCACCACACACTGTGAGACAGAGCACCACACTGTGAGACAGAGCACCACACTGTGAGACAGAGCACCACACTGTGAGACAGAGCACCACACTGTGAGACAGAGCACCACACACCGTGAGACAGAGCACCACACACCGTGAGACAGAGCACCACACTGTGAGACAGAGCCCCACACACTGTGAGACAGAGCACCACACACTGTGAGACAGAGCACCACACACTGTGAGGCAGAGCACCACACACTGTGAGACAGAGCACCACACACTGTGAGACAGAGCACCACACTATGAGACAGAGCACCACACTGTGAGACAGAGCACCACACTGTGAGACAGAGCACCACACTGTGAGACAGAGCACCACACACCGTGAGACAGAGCACCACACACCATGAGACAGAGCACCACACACTGTGAGACAGAGCACCACACACTGTGAGACAGAGCACCACACACTGTGAGACAGAGCACCACACTGTGAGACAGAGCACCACACACTGTGAGACAGAGCACCACACACCGTGAGACAGAGCACCACACACCGTGAGACAGAGCACCACACACCGTGAGACAGAGCACCACACACTGTGAGACAGAGCACCACACACTGTGAAACAGAGCACCACACACTGTGAGACAGAGCACCACACACTCTGAGACAGAGCACCACACACCGTGAGACAGAGCACCACACTGTGAGACAGAGCACCACACACCGTGAGACAGAGCACCACACTGTGAGACAGAGCACCACACCGTGAGACAAAGCACCACACACCGTGAGACAGAGCACCATACACCGTGAGACAGAGCACCACACACTGTGAGACAGAGCACCACACACCGTGAGACAGAGCACCACACACTGTGAGACAGAGCACCACACAATGTGAGAGCACTACACAATGAGAGACAGAGCACCACACACCGTGAGACAGAGCACCACACACCGTGAGACAGAGCACCACACACCGTGAGACAGAGCACCACACACCGTGAGACAGAGCACCACACAATGTGAGACAGAGCACCACACACCGTGAGACAGAGCACCACACTGTGAGACAGAGCACCACACTGTGAGACAGAGCACCACACACTGTGAGACAGAGCACCACACACTGTGAGACAGAGCACCACACACTGTGAGACAGAGCACCACACACCGTGAGACAGAGCACCACACACCGTGAGACAGAGCACCACACACTGTGAGACAGAGCACCACACACCGTGAGACAGAGCACCACACTGTGAGACTGAGCACCACACACCGTGAGACAGAGCACCACACTGTGAGACTGAGCACCACACTGTGAGACAGAGCACCACACACTGTGAGACAGAGCACCACACACTGTGAGACAGAGCACCACACACCGTGAGACAGAGCACCACACACCGTGAGACAGAGCACCACACACCGTGAGACAGAGCACCACACACCGTGAGACAGAGCACCACACACTGTGAGACGGAGCACCACACCGTGAGACAGAGCACCACACAATGTGAGACAGAGCACCACACACCGTGAGACAGAGCACCACACACTGTGAGACAGAGCACCACACTGTGAGACAGAGCACCACACCGTGAGACAGAGCACCACACACTGTGAGACAGAGCACCACACACTGTGAGACAGAGCACCACACACTGTGAGACAGAGCACCACACAATGTGAGACAGAGTACCACACTGTGAGACAGAGCACCACACTGTGAGACAGAGCACCACACAATGTGAGACAGAGTACCACACTGTGAGACAGAGCACCACACTGTGAGACAGAGTACCACACCGTGAGACAGAGCACCACACTGTGAGACAGAGCCCCACACACCGTGAGACAGAACACCACACACCGTGAGACAGAGCACCACACACTGTGAGACAGAGCACCACACTGTGAGACAGAGCACCACACTGTGAGACAGAGCACCACACACCGTGAGACAGAGCACCACACACCGTGAGACAGAGCACCACACCGTGAGACAGATAGCCCTCAGCCGTCGTCCCACCTGTCGCTCCACTCTGCAATAATACTCAGCGTTATGCAGGGAGCACACCAGACGGTCCCCGTACTGAGAGCGCCACCTGTCGCGCGGGCTCACCATAGCCCGTGCTACTTGGAACTTTTTGTTACAGATAACGGATCTATAACAACAACAACAACATGTGTCATGGTCACCGGCCGCCTCTTGTCCCTTGGTTAATACTGCCTCTATTACCCTGGGAGTGGTGACTCCCTCAGTATGGGAGAGTTACCTTCCTGAGGTCTGCCTCTATTACCCTGGGAGTGGTGACTCCCTCAGTATGGGAGAGTTACCTTCCTGAGGTCTGCCTCTATTACCCTGGGAGTGGTGACGCCCTCAGTATGGGAGAGTTACCTTCCTGAGGTCTGCCTCTATTACCCTGGGAGTGGTGACTCCCTCAGTATGGGAGAGTTACCTTCCTGAGGTCTGCCTCTATTACCCTGGGAGTGGTGACTCCCTCAGTATGGGAGAGTTACTGTCCTCACGTCTGCCTCTATTACCCTGGGAGTGGTGACTCCCTCAGTATGGGAGAGTTACTGTCCTCACGTCTGCCTCTATTACCCTGGGAGTGGTGACTCCCTCAGTATGGGAGAGTTACCTTCCTGAGGTCTGCCTCTATTACCCTGGGAGTGGTGACTCCCTCAGTATGGGAGAGTTACCTTCCTGAGGTCTGCCTCTATTACCCTGGGAGTGGTGACTCCCTCAGTATGGGAGAGTTACCTTCCTGAGGTCTGCCTCTATTACCCTGGGAGTGGTGACTCCCTCAGTATGGGAGAGTTACCTTCCTCAGGCCTGCCTCTATTACCCGGGGAGTGGTGACTCCCTCAGTATGGGAGAGTTACCTTCCTCAGGCCTGCCTCTATTACCCTGGGAGTGGTGACTCCCTCAGTATGGGAGAGTTACTGTCCTCAGGTCTGCCTCTATTACCCTGGGAGTGGTGACTCCCTCAGTATGGGAGAGTTACCTTCCTCAGGTCTGCCTCTATTACCCTGGGAGTGGTGACTCCCTCAGTATGGGAGAGTTACCTTCCTGAGGTCTGCCTCTATTACCCTGGGAGTGGTGACTCCCTCAGTATGGGAGAGTTACTGTCCTCAGGTCTGCCTCTATTACCCTGGGAGTGGTGACTCCCTCAGTATGGGAGAGTTACTGTCCTCACGTCTGCCTCTATTACCCTGGGAGTGGTGACTCCCTCAGTATGGGAGAGTTACTGTCCTCACGTCTGCCTCTATTACCCTGGGAGTGGTGACTCCCTCAGTATGGGAGAGTTACTGTCCTCACGTCTGCCTCTATTACCCTGGGAGTGGTGACTCCCTCAGTATGGGAGAGTTACCTTCCTGAGATCTGCCTGTATTACCCTGGGAGTGGTGACGCCCTCAGTATGGGAGAGTTACCTTCCTCAGGCCTGCCTTTATTACCCTGGGAGTGGTGACTCCCTCAGTATGGGCGAGTTACCTTCCTGAGGTCTGCCTCTATTACCCTGGGAGTGGTGACTCCCTCAGTATGGGAGAGTTACCTTCCTCAGGCCTGCCTCTCTTACCCTGGGAGTGGTGACTCCCTCAGTATGGGAGAGTTACCTTCCTCAGGCCTGCCTCTATTACCCTGGGAGTGGTGACTCC